ATTTAAACAATGGCAGAAAGATATATCTAGATTTGTATGGCCAGGATGCAAGACATGAGGAGGATTAGGTTTACTTGATTTGAAATTTTATTTTGTGGCTGCTTGTTTAGTGTGGATGAAAGAATGGATTTCATTAAAAAATAGTTGATTATTGGTGTTAAAAGGAAATGATTTGAGATGTGGGTGGCATGAATACCTGTTGTACAACCAAGCAAAGGTTCATGTAGAATTTAATAACCACTATGGTAGACATCCCATTTTGACAGTATGTAATAAATATAAACCTAGGATCTGTCTGAAAATCCCTCTGCGGCTGTCACCACAAAAAGCTCACTTTAGAAGAAAAATGACAAATTTGTATAAATGTTTAACATACTGTGATATGTTAGAATTTTTGCAAGGAGTATATAAAATAAAATCAAGAGAAGATTTGATAACAGAAGGATATGCTTGAGTCTGAAACTGCGGCTGTCACCGTCACCACAAAAAGCTAGAAGAAAAATGACAAATTTGTATAAATGTTTAACATACTGTGATATGTTAGAATTTTTGCAAGGAGTATATAAAATAAAATCAAGAGAAGATTTGATAACAGAAGGATATGCTTGCCAATGGTTTTCTTACTTGCAAATCTTAGGCTGCGGTCACACGGAACATTAGCCACGCTAGAGAGACGGAAGATAGGCGGATTTTCCGGGCGCGATCTCACCGCCATATCTGGGAAGCGTAGAGCTCCCATGGCTCACCCGAGGCTTCCCGCCGAAGATGTGGGGTAAAAAACTAGTACCGCCCAGGTACTAGTTTCTGGTAACCGCGGGGCAAGGGCGGGCATCTGATCGCGTTTCTGGTGGCATCCGGCGCCCGCCCATGTCCCCTTGCAAAAAGGGTTTTTCCCCCCAAGTCTCCATGGATGCGCACAAGCACCCAACGGAGCATGCTTTGGTGTACAGAAAAAAACAAACCCGTTAGCCGCACCGCGCCGCTTCTTTGCCGCTCCGCAGGATTGTCCTGTGATCGGCACCTCCCCCCTACCCATGGGACCTCCACGGAACCTCCACGGGACATCTGCTTGCGCAACTGCGCGTTATTTTGCTCCGGGGCAAACAGCCACGCCTCCCCCCCCGCGATATCCGGCCCGTGTGACCGGGGCCTTAGAAAGGTTTAAGGTAGACAAAACTTTTGAGCAATCTAAGACTGAATTTGAGACAGAACTATGTACAAATGATGAACATGTTATTGCCAAATTGTATAAACTCTGGTTGAAATTTGAGACAGAGGAAGAGCAAGTGAAAAACGCTATGAAAAAATGGGCCAAAATTTTCGATATGATATACAAATGGAACAATGGGAAAATATGTGGCTAAAGGGTTGAAATTTACATTGTTCTAGTCTTAAAGAGAACTTTTATAAGATGATGTACCTTTGGTATATGTCTCTGTTGAAATTGGCCAAAATGTTTTAAGGTACTTTGAGTTTATGTTGGAAATGTGAGCAACATGAAAGATCATTTTAGCATATGTGGTGGACTTGTAAGAAAGCAAAGATTTTTTGAATACAAATACAGTTATTAATTCAGAAGATTTTAAAGATTAATATACAATTGAAACCAGAGTCCTGTCTTTTGGGATTTACGGACACTCATCTGGAAAGAAGGCTTTGTTGTTATATATGACGGCAGCAAGGTTATTATATGTACAAAAGTGGAAGAGTCCGATGTTGCCAACAACGAAGGAGTGGTGGGTGAAGGTGGTGGAACTTGCAGTGATGGCTAAACTTACTTCATTGATTAGACAAAAGACAATAAATTCCTTTATTGATCATTGGAAACACCTTATAGACTTTTTGCATGAAACATAATAATGACTGGATGATGTGTGGGTTTGGTGAATAAGGAATTTAGACAATTGAAAAAAGAGAGCTTTTCTTTGTCAACATAGAGTAAGACAATATTTTGTAATAATACTAACATTTGTTGCAGAGAAAATTGGAAGCCTCCTTTTATTTTATATAGCTTTTCCCTCTCTTCTTTGGTCTGTTATTTGATAAAATCATAGGAATTGAAACTTTAATGGCCAAACTGAAAGAATTTGGTACAGTAGTGGGCATTAAGGTCAATAAAGAGAAGCCTAAGATGTTACCAAAAATATAAAAATACAAGATCAAACAAAACTGATAAAACAAGTTTTAAAACTGAAAAGAAGGTAAAGTACTTGAGTATCACTTTGACAAATATGAATTGTATGCTATTTCAAAATAACTATGTTAAGACTTGGAATTAAATTGAAAAAGATTTGTTAAGATGTGACAAAGTTCAGCTGTCACTTATGGGGAGAATATCTGTGATTAAGATGAATGTTTTACCTAGAATGCTATTTTTGTTTCAAACAGTTCCTGTTTTGACAACAGAGCTGCAATTTAAACAATGGCAGAAAGATATATCTAGATTTGTATGGCCAGGATGCAAGAAAAGAGGAGGATTAGGTTTACTTGATTTGAAATTTTATTTTGTGGCTGCTTGTTTAGTGTGGATGAAAGAATGGATTAATGTTTAGACGAAAACTGGTCTGATTTAATTTCAACCTGTTGGTTCTGGTCCAACCTTCTGGGGCAACAGAAAACAACTCCCTGCCACTTTAAGATGGTAATCATATCACCTCTCAGTTATTCTTTCTTTAAATAAAACTTTAATCACCCTAAAAAATAAAGCAATAAAAGAGAGTCAGAACTGAGCTCTTATTACGCAAGTTCATTGTCCTTTTTGTAGAATTGTTTTAAGTTCAAACGTTGGGCTGACTAGTCACTTCCCCCATTTTTGGCAACAGTCCTCTCCATTTGTCTCCTGATAGCTGTAAGTCTGCCTTGTACAGTTTGATGGGTTTTAAATCAGTTCTCCAAGAGGTGTGGGTGGGGTCAAGCCAGCCACTATGCTCAGCAACATCTGAAGCCATTCTCTAGTCTAAAGAGTCTTCCTTTCATCAGAGGAAGAGCAACTTGAGTTGGAGAAAAGCTCCTTAGGCTGGAGGAAGGCTTCATACATTGTCGAGCAGATCCACCCCAGTGTGTTTCTGTAATGGCCTCTTGGTCCTCTTTTTTTCACCATTTGACTATTTCTTTAAGGGTATCCCCGAACAAGTGCACAGCTGAAGATATCGGCATGTTGATCGGTTTAAGTTCAGTGAACAAAGGGTGGGGTGCTGCTTTGGGGAGAAGGAAATCAGTCACCAGTTTCCAGCAAGCTGCAAAAGCTTTTGCCATTCTGAATGCCGTTGCTTCATCACAGCCACAACGTTTGGCAAGTCCATGCTGCATGATTGTCTGCAGTGTTCTGGCCAGTGGTGACGGTGTTGGCATTTGTACATTTCTGGTGCTCAGTGTACATTTTTATACGTGCATCTGAAATATCTTGGTAAAAATTCCAGCAACCCTATAAAGCAAACCAGTGTTACTATCCCCATATTATAGGAGGGTTGGCTTAATCTGTGAAAACGAACAATGGACTGGATTCAGCTTCGGCATTCAGAAATGCTGTTGTAGTCTGTACTGCGTGGGAACAGTGAAGCTAAATCCAAGTTTGCAAAAGACCTTGTGCCTCCTCTTTGAAAAACAAAAGCAACAGAATTGCCGTTAAACCTGTCTCTTTATAGCATTCTTGCACAAGCATTAGTGGAGCAGTGCTAGCAGTTCTTTTCCGTTTGCTCATGATTTCTCATAGTGCGCAGCTGGTACTATTTGGGCTTAGAGCTACGTCTCTTTTCACAGTCCCATTCTGTGGCCCAGTGCTGTACATCTAAACTGCAAGCTAGCTTTCCGGCAGATAATCTGGATGCAGTTTTGATGATTGGGAATCAAGAAGGGCGACCAACATGTGATTTAGAAGGGAAGAGGGATGATGTCAATAAAGGCAGTGTTTGGGATCTGCCATATGCCAGCTGCTGTCATTGGGGGCCTAACTACCTATTACAAAGACCATGTGTCCACCCTGGGCTTGTCCATCCTGGGCCTGTTGGCTGGATGTGCTGTGAAAGTTCTGTGCTCAGAATTTAATTCCAAAGCATAGAAAGGAACTGCTTCGGTTTGAGACTATGATTTGTGGGAAGAGGGTTGTTAAGCCTTTCCCACCCATGTCATTTTCCAGAGGGAGTCATTGTTTGTCCCATTGTGGAAACCTGCATGTATCCCTTAGTACACAGAAGCTTCCCCAGTGGGGCAAATACAGATGCCTGGGGCCATTTTGGATTGGTTAAGTGGCATGCAGGAAGTTAAGGTCACTTGTTCCTGTGCATGCCTGGGAATTCAGTTCTGAGCACATAACTCCCAGAGCATGTCTGATTGATATATCTGGGATGGACACATAGAGGGAGATGAGGACTTTGTAATGTGCAGTTAGGCTTTTAGCCAAAACAAAGGAGTGTTGTTTGTGTCTCCCCCGATGTGTGTTCAAAAGAACTGTGTCGTAGTCTCCCAAAAAAACTAGTCCTGTTTGACTGTTTCATTTACAAAGAATATTAGAGGTTTATCAAGATATTCGGTTCCAAAATACTTGATGTGTTGATCAGGCACCAAAATAACTCCAGTCTGTGATGTTCTGAGCTGATTAACAGGGCTCTGTTATTAACTTCGCTCTTGGCCCAGCTGTTTGCTAGCGTATGGTCTTCATTCTGTATTTTCATTCTAGAAAGGCTGAATGTGCAGTAAATATATTAAGAGATGTAATACTCCTCAATACATTCCCCTATAATTAAACCACTGTAATTCACATAGTTGTATTACACACACGCGCGTGCGTGCTCTAGTTCCTCATCTGTAAAGCCGAAAATGTGATCTATTTTTCACAGCCTTTCGTGAGGAAGAATAAGATCAGTAGTGAATTACTTTTGTATTAGGCCTTCGTGAAATTATTGATTATGTTCAGTGTTTAACATTTTGGAACCACTTTTATACAAGTATTGTGTGAATTGAAGGTTAATATATGTTGCAAATAATATTTAATTATTTCTTAGGTTAACTTCTCAGTCTGGTGCTACCTTACCAAATGGGCGTAGTTTATGTAAGTACTTTGTATTTGATTGGTGTTAGTTATAGTTCTCCTCCAGAGGCATTTTGGTGTGTTGGGTTTTTCAGCACCTCCTTTCGTTCATTGTCTGCAGTGTATTATTTTGTCACATACACACAAAAAAGGCCACTCATAAGATTTCCCTTTAGTATCTTTTGCTCTGCTTTTTGGTTGTTATTTCACACACTGACAATTAGGATCATAAGAGCAAGAGCCCAGTAATAAAGATTAACCAAATATGTGGCAGGGTATGAGCTTTTGTGAGTCACTGCTCATTTCTTCAGATACAGCTAGAATGGGAGTCCATCTATCCTATTTATTAGAAAGCGGGGTGATTTTGAATGACAATAGTAGGCGTAATTGGATTTAGGTGAGATATGCAGAGGGGTAAGACTTGGTAATGAGACAGGAAACCTAGGTTTTGATTCAGTCCAGGCGGATGCATTGTCTTGAGCTTCATTATCAGTTGCAATTCAGCAGTTATTAGGATCATATATTTTCTAAGAAAAGCTAGAAAAATGGGTAGGAGAAGGTTGGGACTAAGAGATATATATATAGGTATATTGAAATATATTAAAAAAAACGGGGGGAGATGTGGGAATTATCTCTGAAAGTATGCATGTTACTAGACCTTCTGTAGACTATTAGCCAACTGTGGCCCTCATCTGCAGATAGCTAAATCCGCAGATCAGGGCCACACGGAAGCTCAACAGATTTTTCTTCAAGGTTGGGGTACTCACCAGGTTTGCAGAAAAATCTGAAATCTACATTAAAGTATATAGAGGGGTTTAAATCCCCCCAATTATATTTGCATCACCTGTGCACATGCAGACGATGCTCTTACCTGTTCAGTACGGAGCCACTGCAGCGCGGCCTGGTGGTGGACATTGGCAGCCGTGGCTGCCATGGCCTTAGTATTGAAGGACATCGGCAGCCACACCAGCCTGGCCGTGGTGGCGGAGGACATCTAGGAGTTACTGTGGCTTGGCCGCGGTGGAGAATGCCTGACCAGGCACACCAGGCCTGGCCACAACGGAGGAGGACAACTGGGAGTTGCTGTGGTGGAGGAAGACTCCCGGCAGCTGCTGCAGTCCAGCCACGGTGGCAGAGGATACCTGGCAGCCACGCAGGGCTCAGCTGCGACTGAGGAGGATGCCAGTAGCTGTGCTGAGCAGTGGCAGAGGAGAATGCCAGGCTAATTCCCCTCCCCCACGGAGCCATAAGGAGAATTCCCCCCCACTTGTCAGAATCCAGTGTCAGAGAAATGATGCTGCAAGGAATAAAGACACCAAGCGTCTACCTAGTCTGTGGTTATGTTCTTTGTATTTTCCTTTTGTATTTAATCCCTGCAGATTAAAATAATAACTTGAATCTTTCAGCTCTCAAAAGCTGTTCCCTTCGAGGGGAGAAAAAGGGAGACGGGGACCATGCTTGTATAAATGGAGGCAGAGAAATCAGAAAAAGTTGTCGATCCAGAAAAAACAGATTTGAAAGTTTGAATCAGAGTTTGCTGTTTGACCAGCTAGTAAACAGGTATGTGGGGATAGTCTAATAACATGAATAATTTCCAGATTAAATCCCTGTTCTGCAAATGTTTTTGGTGTCTTCTTTGGGGTACTTAAATTTTTCCTTGTTTAATAGGAATTCCTTGAGCTTTCTCATCTTCCGCTGGTTGTTTGCCAAGCTCTTTGACATATATTCTTTTAGCAGCCTGTAGATTTAATGCTTTCAAATCTTTAGGCTCCAATCTTTATTATTAATGCTAGTGTCACTGATGAAAGCAGGTAGTTTATCTTCATTCCATGTATGGTCTTTAAAGAAAGGAACTGTTGTGAACATAAATTACTTCTCCCAGTACTCTTTGAAATTATACCCACTAAAGCCCAAAGTCTAGATTTACAAAATGAAGCTTTTGAGTAGTTGGGGAAGTATAGGTAAAGGTTTCCCTTACTCGAAAGCCAGTCGAATCTGACCCTAGGGGGCAGTGCTCATCTCCGTTTCCAAGCCAAAGAGCCAGCGCTGTCCAAAGACGTTTCCGTGGTCATGTGGCTAGCCTGACTAGACGCCAAGGTGCACGGAACGCTGTTACCTTCCCACCGAAGCGGTACCTATTTATCTACTTGCAGTTTCTTGCTTTCGAACTGCTAGGTTGGCAGGAGCTGGGACCAGAGATGTGAGCTCACTCCATCATGTGGCACTCGGGTCTCGAACTGCTGAACTGCCAACCTTCTGGTCTGCAGTTCAGTGTCTTAACCACTTGAGCCACCGCAGCCCTGTTGGGGATGTATACATGTGTGCAATGGGTGAGGTTGGTTAGAGAAATAGGTCAAGACCAGTCAGCAGGCTATTTTAGCCCCCCTTTTAAGTTTCTGTATTTTCTATAGCTATAACTTGAGTGGGTTCTTATAAGGATCCATAAACTTGCAGTTTTCTGCACTTGTAGATTCCCACCTCCTTAGATAACTGAGGCTCAGAATAGTCCCACGTTTTTCAGGACCTTCACCTTCGTACTCTTAGGTTGGCTAGTATTAGCTGCTGCTTTTGGTTTCTGTTTAACCTGTGGGGAATTGCGGTTAGGATTTTTGCTAGGACTTGGTCCCTACTCTGTCTTAAGTCAGTGGGAGGCCTGAGCGAATCAAAGTTTCTCAGCCTGATCTCCCCTGTCGGATGTTTAAGAGGATAAAATGAGTGAGAGGAGAGATACAGCCTCTGAGCTCTTTGGAAGAGGAAAGGGCATAGTAAAATATGATTAATAATTACCAAGCATGTGTCTGCCTGCGTTTCACTCTTTTTGCTTTTTTCCCCAGTCTGGTTTTGTTCTGTGGTTGGGCAATATCCTGGTAAAAAACGTGGGTAGAACAGTTTTTAATGACAGTTACTTTGACATCCAGCACCTTGGGGTAATTCACACTTGGTCCTGGCTAGTAAACAGTTGTCTCCCTGTCACTTACGTCACTTCTTTACCCTTCTCTAAAAGTTGGGTTGCAGTTGGCATTCTGTGAATTGACCTGTGCTTGTTTCAGTGCACCGAAGCCAAGAATCATGTTAGTTCTTCAGCAGAGAACTTTCACTTTGTCAGAACAAGTTTTGGCCCTTTGCTTTCCCCCCCCCCTGCACACCTGTGGAGCTCTGTTTCATTAGGCTCTGAATCATGTCTGTGCTTGGCTGATAAGTACCTTAACACGGTACTGTTATGAAATGTATGTGGTTTGCTATTTTATTTCATATTAAGACTTAAATGTTTCAGTACTGCCGAAGCTGTTCTTCAAGAAATGGACAATATTAACATCAGACGGAATAGGCGATCTGGAGAGGTGGAAAGATTGCGCATGTGGACAGATACGGAATTTGTAAGTTCAAATTGGTCATTCGTGCTATGCAGTACTTAAAAAGTATTGCCAATCGTAAAACATCAACAAGTTAATTTCTAATAATATAGTGTATTCGATTCATTTGTGAACAGCACGCCATTGAGATAACAGTTTTAGCAATGGGAGAGAGCACGTTTGACACATACGAGAGTGAAAATAGGATTCCTTTCATAATGGAAATAACAATTGCCAACAGCAGCAATGTAACATCTGGAGAAGAAAATTGGCAGGGAATCCGGCATAGTCAGCTATTCGACTGACCCATTTGTCAAGCTGTGCTGCTTGCAAGGGCGACGCCAGCTTTGGTGCTGTGCGTGTAGCCCCTTGCCTATTATTGTGGATAAAAGAGTTCCGATACATATAATTGTCCTGGTGATCTCTTAAGGAAACATCAAGCATGTAACTCCACATCTAAAAGCCTGTCAGAGGGACCAAAAAGTGTTTCAGTGTTACCCGCCAGCTTATGTGTTCAGCAAAATTCAGACAACTTTTGAAACGTCATGGCAATTGGGTAACTTAAGTAAATGCCAGCTTGTGAGGCAGCGAGACTTCCTCTATTACGAGTTGGCTGTTCTGCAGTGCTCCCCTCCCCCCAGTAATTCTTTTGGTTGCTAGGAAATGCTGCACCTGAGTAATGGAATCTCCCCATCTCTCGTTTACTTCTGTGGTCCCAATTCCTGTGGCGGTGACATTCTGTACACCACACTGCTATATGTTGGCAAGTCCGGAGAATATGAACATGCCAATTTGATGGGTGCATTGCCGTTTTGTTACCCTGCAGTGTTGATTGTGACCTTTGTGGTGTGGCTATGTACTCAAGTGCCAGAGTCATGTTATGAAATAAAAAATTTGTGTGGTACACACTTGTATGTCTAGTTATATAACAGTGTGTGTGTGTACACACACATCTGTAAAGATTCTAAATAGTTTGGTTGACTACCATTTGCTTTGTGTTGTGAAGAGAAGGAAGGCAAAAATATACAATATTATAATTTTTTTGCTTGTTTCAGAATCACTTTTTTCTTTTATCTACCCTTCCCCCTTTCACTAGATATTATCCAGTTAGCTATGTGTTCCGGAAAACACTGTGCATCCTATTGTTCATAATTCAGGTTATTGAACATGATGCAGATTATTCTTATTCTAGGAAAACATGGATATGTATTCACGTGTAAAAAGGAGGAGGAAATCGCTGAGGAGAAATAGCTATGGAATCCAGAACCATCATGAAGTGTCCACTGAAGGGGAAGAAGAAGGTAATGATGACAGAGGTTAGCTAGTTTTGGTATATGCTGTTGAAAGTGACTATGCAAAGAAGGCAATATATGAATTCTAAAATGTCAACACACAGATGTTGATATGGTCAAATTATATCTATCCCAGGGAATGAAATAATACCCTTGTTGCATCAGTATTCAGTTAACCTCCTAAAGCTGATTGCCTTGTCCATTTGATTTTAAATCCTGTTATCACCCATTACAAAAATTTATCCTGGTATATTAAGCAGAATAACATTTGAGCTAGAATATTAACATTTTATAAAAGCAAATTGTTTATAAAATTGTGGTGGGAAGTGCCATCAGGTAGCAGCTAACGTGGCGATCCCGTAGGCAGGGTTCCCTCTAAGCTGAGTTAGCGTGAGCTAGCTCACAGTTTTGTAGCCTCTGGCTCACACATTTGCGTCTCAGCTCAGGAAGGATGACTCCGGAGCAAACTAATTTATGCAATAGCCAAATCGCTTGCTCACAACTTTAATGCCAGTAACTCACAAAATAGAATTTTTGCTCACAAGACTCCACAGCTTAGAGGGAACACTGCCCGTAGGGTTTTCGAGGCATGGGATGAACAGAGGTGGTTTGCCATTGCCTGCCTCTGCGAAGCAGTCTTGAGCTTGGTGGTCTCCCATCCAAGTACCAACCAGAGCTGACCCTGCTTAGCTTCCAAGATCTGACCAGGTTGGGCAACCCTGGGCCATTTGGGTCAGGGCTTGAAAAATTAGGAGACTTTTAAAAGATGCAACAGAAGAGCTGTCTTTAAAATTGTTTACTATTTCTATGGGCTTTTTCTTTTTAGAATCGCAAGAAGAAGATGGAGATATTGAAGCAGAGGAGGCAGAGGGGGAAGAAAACGATCGTCCCTATAATCTGAGACAAAGAAAAACAGTGGAAAGATATCAGGCACCCCCTATTGGTAAGAGAGTGAGCGAGCTAAAATCTGATTTCCTTCGTAATAGATACAGCCTGTTGTAGCTGTATTTCTAACATTTGGTCAGCTTAACTTTACTAGTGCCATATATTTCTAAGGCTGCTCCAACTCTCTGTTTTGCTAGTTGACTTGTATCTCAGATTTTCATCTGTGGATCAGTGTCTCTGATTCAGCAGCAGAGAAACCTCAACCACCCCACCCTTCATCTGGTGAAAAATAATGCTAATATCAGTGTTTCTTCACCTGTATGCCTTGGGAGTGTACAGTGGGTGGGATTCTGTTAGGCAACTCTGTGGAGTTGTGACTTGCTCAGTGAAAACTGCATAGGAATGATGTGTTTTGCTTCTGGCTTCTCTGTACATTGGGGTGAGGAGATGGTTTTGGATTGACATGATTCCTACTTTTTCCCATTGCAAAGAACTTGGAGATCTCACTTACTTTACCCTGTACTTATCTGCAAGATTATCTGCAGTAGCCTAAGGGTAGGATGTATGTATTTGACTGTGTAAATATTTTGGATGCTATCCCCTGGAAATGACACATACTTAGAAATCATTTGGACTTGAGGTAACAGAGGAGATTGCAGATAATAGGAAGATGCTGGAGCTTGACTTGCTTACATAAATATCTGGCTTGTGAGTTTTATCATGTTACTTAATAGTAAGGACTTGTATAAGTCGCTAACAGAATTCTATGAAACATTCTCCAATACATTGTAAATCAGTTTGTAAATCTTGTGTTATTCAGTGCCCGCTCACCAGAAGAAAAGGGAAAATGCATTGTTTGACATTCATAGGTCTCCTGCTAGAAGAAGCCATATCAGGTAAATAACCCATTTTCCATATATGTTTTCTTAGTTTTGGGGTTCTTAGAAAGAATTTCTTGCTTAGAAAATTGCTTAGTTAAGCAATTGCATAAAAATAAAAAGATAAGCAGAGACAGTTTGATGCTTTTATTTTGTTAGTTAAAATAAAGAGGGTGAATGTTTTATTGCATGGTAGTAATGCTGAGAGGTCCTATTCTGGTTCTCCCCCATTGTGCGTTGCATATTTTCCTTCTGATATATAAAGTGTTCCTTGGGCTATCAGACTTCTTTAAAAAAGAAAGTATGAAGGCAAGCTTTCTTAACAGGCTGTTTGCCGCCCGTGCTCTTTAAGAAACTGAAGACAGCATAATCTTTAAGATTTGAGTGTTTTACTGCCATTTACTTGTTAGCCAGGGACAACGGAGTACATGCTGTTCCTCAGTGAAATGTTTTTTGTTTCCATAGGAGGAAAAAGCACGCCATTCATAGCAGTGATACAACCTCATCAGATGAAGAACGCTTTGAAAGAAGAAAATCTAAGAGCATGGCAAGAGCAAGGAACAGGTACGGAATGTTCTGCAGCTTTCAAAATTAACTTTGAAAAACAGTGAGGGGAGGAGTTGATTCTGTGAGTCTAACTGGTCACATTTTTTTCATTCATAATGATATACAAAGCTTTTTATGTTGAGTCAAGACTATTGGACCATCTAACTCAGTAATATTGAATCTGACTGGGAACTTTATTTGTATTTATTTATTTATTAGTATTTTTGCCTCGCCCTCCCCGCGAGCGGGCTCAGGGCGGCTTACAAGACGGCAACAGTGCCCACATATAAAACAAGATTAAAACAGAATAAAATAATTGAATCACAAAAGTAAGGTGCTCAATAAAGAACAAGATGATTTTCCAACGGTAAATGCCGGATCTTTCATTGGAGGTAAATAGTGTCCTGTAGCTGGTACGTGGCCAGTCCAGTGGTACCCGCCCAGTGTGGTATCATGGCAGATCTTCAAGGGCCGTCCTCTTACCCAGTTGTTACCCATGCCGTTGTTGGTGGTGGTAGTGGCGGCGCCTATGTAAAAGCCTGGTGGAAGAGCTCCATCTTGCAGGCCCTGCGGAACTGTATGAGGTCCCGCAGGGCCCTGATCTCCTCCGGGAGCTCATTCCACCAGGTAGGAGCCGCCACTGAAAAGGATCTGGCCCTAGCTGTGGCAAGCCTTGCCCCCCGGCGGCCTGGAATCACCAGGCGATGTTGAGTCCCCGACCGAAGTGCTCTTGAGGGTACGTATGGGGAAAGGGAGTCCCTTAGGTATGTCAGACCCTGGCCATATAGGGGTTTAAAGGTAAGCACCAGCACTTTGAAACGGATCCGGTATGCTATTGGCAGCCAGTGCAGTGCTTTCATCCCAGGCTGGATGTGCTCCCACTTGGGGAGGCCCGTCAACAGCCGGGCCGCCGCATTCTGCACAAGCTGCAGCTTCCAGATATGTGACAAAAAACAGCCCCATGTAGAGAGCGTTACAGTAGTCTAGCCTCGAGGTGACCGTTGCATGGATCACTGTAGCCAGGTCATCGTAGTTGAGGAAGGGAGCCAACTGCCGCACCAGCCTAAGATGGTAAAAGGCCGATTTGACAGTGGCTGCCACCTGGGCCTTCATAGTTAAGGAGGGATCCAGGAGCACTCCCAAACTCCTAACCTCCGACGCTGGCACCAGAGGTGCCCCATCAAAGATCGGGAGAGGGATCCCCAACCTCGGACTGACCTGATTCAAGCACAGGACCTTCGTCTTCACTAGGTTTAGTTTCAGCCAACTCAGCCTGACCCACCCAGCCATGGCCTGTAGGGCCCGGCTCAAGTCGTCTGGGTCAGAGCCCGACTGGCCACCCAACATCAGATAGAGCTGGGTGTCATCCGCATATTGATGACACCCCAGCCCATACCTTCAGGCAATCTGGGCAAGGGGGCGCATGTAGATGTTAAACAACATCGGGGAAAGCACCGCCCCCTGAGGCACACCACATTCAAGCGGGTGCCTCTGGGACAGCTGTTCCCCTAGTGCCACCCTCTATCCCCGACCTTGGAGAAAAGAGGCAAGCCATTGAAGGGCGAGCCCCTGAATCCCCACGTCGGCGAGGCGGTGGGTCAGCAGCTGATGGTCGACCATGTTGAACGTGGCCCATAGATCTAACAACAACAGCGTCGCCACACCGCCCCGATCCAGATGCCTCCGGAGGTCGTCAGTAAGGGCAACCAGTACTGTCTCCATCCCATGACCCGGGCGAAAGCCGGACTGGAATGAATCAAGGATAGAAGTGTCATCCATAAATCTCTGTAGCTGTGTCGCCACCACCCTCTCAATCAATTTGCCCAGATAGGGCAAATTGGACGCCGGCTGATAGTTGGCCAATTCAGCCGGGTCCAGAGATGGTTTTTTCAAGAAAGGACAGACCATCGCCTCCTTGAGTGCCTCCGGGAACCGCCCCTCTGTGAGGAACTTGTTGACAGTCTCCCTTAAGACACCCCGAAACCCCTCATGGCCCACTTTAATGAGCCAGGAAGGGCACGGATCAAGGCAGCATGTGGTTGGGTGCACAGATACGAGCAATCTGTCAACTTCTTCCAGACTGAGCAGGTTGAAGCATTCTAAACCCAGAGTCGAAGACGCGCAAGGGGCCTCAAGTTCGCTCACTGTTTCAACTGTGGAGGGGAGGTCACCGGGGAGCACCAAGACTTTGTCCGCGAAATAGCTCACAAAAGCCTCACAGACAATATCCAATTCCCTACTCTTTTGTCTGCCCTGTGGCAGAGCTGTCAAAGACCGAATTGCTCTAAACAATTGGGCTGGGCGTGAGCTCCCAGACGCAACTGTAGCTGCATAGAATTCTTTCTTAGCAGCCTTGACTGCCACCTCATAGGATCTCATAAACGTCCTATAAGAGGCTCTTGATACTTTGTCGCGGGCATGGTGCCACTGTTTCTTTAGCCGTCTCAGCTCCCGCTTCATAAGCCGCAACCCCTTGGTATACCAGGGGGCAAGCCTAGAGCGAGTGCGCAGAGGGCACCAGGGAGCGATCTCATCGATGGCTGTGGAGAGTCGGTTATGCCAATCCTTCACAAGCTCATCCAATGAGCCGCCGGGGGCATCGGATCCCGCAGAGTCATCTGAAGTCGTTCAGGGTCCATTTGGCTCTGCGGGCGAGCTAAAATCCGCTTGCCGCCTAAACAGGGTCGGGGTGAAACATTCAGATGAGCTTTCAGGGCATAGTGGTCCGACCATGGTACTGCTGCAGCAGTAATCCGGGCCACTGTAATCCCTGCCGCGAAGATCAAATCGATCGTGTGCCCAGCATGGTGCGTTTAAGAGTATCTGGTATGATTAGAACCATCATCTCCCACACAGTCCTGTCTAGGAATTAAGATCACAGGGAGAGGCTCTCCGGGCTGTCCCATCAACCAAAGAAGCTTGTCTGGTGGGTACACAATAAAGGGCCTTTTCAGTGTTGGGCCCATGATTATGGAATAATTAATAATTATTGTATGACAGTGTGTGTAGTACAGCCAGGAGATCCTAAGATTGTCTGGCAGCCAGAGGTTCTAAGCATTTTTAGCGTTATGCACCACTAGATGGCGAGCCAGACTTTGTTTTTAAGGCAAGAGACGTTTCAGAGCTGGTTTCCCATTGTCTGCCTCTGCGTCACGCCCCTGGTATTCCTTGGATGTCACCCATCCAAATACTAGCCAAGGCCAGCCCTGCTTGGCTTCTGAGATCTGATGAGCTCAGGCTAGCCTGGGCCATCCGGGTCAGGGTGCGATTACGGAATTGCCTCCCCAGGGAAGTGTGCCTGACCCCCCCTCTGTACTTTTAATCTTTAGGAGGCAGCTGAAGATGTTTTTGTTCAGGACGGCATTTGATTAGCTTAGTTTCCCCCCCGTTTATTGTAAATAGTGATTTTAATTCAGGGTTTTTATTCCATGTATTCTGCTTTTTATTCTGTTTATATTGTAAGTTGCCTTGAGGGTTCCAGAAGGCAGAAAGGGGGCTGATATTTTAAAGAAATGAATAGAAAGTATCCCCTTTTAAAATTTCATTTCCTCCTTCTGAGAAACAAATCTGCAAGTCTTTGTTTCCACACCAGTTTCTCTTCCTTGGTGGGGAGGAGCCATGGCATTCACTTTCCATGCAGAAGGTCCCAAGTTCAGTCTCCGGCATCTCTAGTTAAAAGACTCAGGTAGTTAGGTGATGTGAAAGACCTTGATTTGAGACCTTGGGCAGCTGCTGCAAGTCAGAGTTAGGCAACTGCAACACTGATGGACAAGGGGTGTGTTGCTCAGTATAGGGCACCTTCATGCGTTCTTCATGCCAATTCCCCCCCATTAAAACTAGCACATTTTTAGTGCGTTATTTTTGGGTCAGTTGTTTATACATTTTGTATAGCCAGTATATAGTGTTTAAAAAGTCACTAAGGCAGGAATAAAAACAAGGTAACCTGAATCCAGTGGTAATGTGCTCAATGAGGACAACATGGAAATGGCCCTAATGTAAATTACATTTTAAAAAAATTACGAGAAAAGGGAAAAAAAGGAAAAAAAGGCCCTGCTTTCTACTAAGTCCCAAGCTGAGTTTTTTTCCTTAACCTGTAGCCTTGAGAATCTTCTTAATTAAAGGCTATGGGGACTGAGCCTGGGATGTTGGAAAACATGTGGCTTAAACTCCCTAGGCCCTCTCTGGCAAGACATTTCTGTTCTATGGATTATGTGTATTCCGATGCAGGTAAAACCCATCTTGCTTATAGTGGATTTGTCTTTAGCTATCTGCATACAACCTTTCCTAACATACATTTCCTTTCTGATGTGTGAAGTGGCCTACTGAGTCAGATCGCTGGTCCGTCAAAGTCCGTAATGTCTACCACAGGTCTCAGCGTTAATACCAGGTTAAATTGTAACGTGAAAAACCATCTGGGAATATTGGGGTGCATCCAGCCGCCTGTGGACTTTGTGGAGCAGGGCTTTCCTATTTCCTCCTCCCAATGTAGTTTACGGCATTCCCTTCTTCTCAGTTATGTTCCTAGAGGTCAGTAGACCTCAGAAACAGCATTGGGGGTAAAGTGGGAGTGGGGAATCAACAACAGTTGCTTCCCCTCCCTCAAAGTCTTAAGTGCCTTTGATATTTGTGTGATTGGGTGTACATGGCATTCTCTGCACAGATGCATAACTTTCTTGGGTTGCAGCCTTGCTCAGCCTCAAACCAGATTCAGCCTTGTTTGGATTTTGTCTCAAGCAGATGTCTGCCTATGAACTTCAGAGCTGAAGACTTGGCCAGTGGAATCATTCGCGAGCGAGTGAAAGTTGGTGCAAGCTTGGCTGATGTAGATCCGATGATTCTCGACAAATCAGTATGCTCATTTTGTCTTTTTTATAATCTGTGCACCTAATAAAGGAAACAAGCTAACTGATCATAAAACTTGAGCTTAGACACACAATAAATACATTTAAGTTAAATAAGTATTAATTAAGTCAGTGCTTCCAGACTGCTTTTGTGCACTATTTATTGCAGGTGCTGGACCAGATTGGGTAATATTTGTTTTGCGAGTTGTTTTGAAGACACAGTAGCACACAATGGACAAAGGATACAATGAGATTTGACTTTACAGTTGTTCAAAACCAATATTTCATAACTCTTGTTAATCAGCCTGGTTTTGAGTTTGGCCTCTGACCCCAGTGCCAATTGAATGAGAAACCAGTAGAGCAAAAGTTGTTTCCTTTTCCCTAGGTGCGCTTTGACAGCATAGGTGGATTGAGCCATCACATTCATGCACTTAAGGAAATGGTTATATTTCCTCTTTTGTATCCTGAAATCTTTGAGAAATTCAAAATTCAGCCACCGAGGTAGGTATATTTATCATATGTAGTTTATTTGTATTGTATTTTTTCCTGAGCAAAACCTCAGTCTTGCTTTATAAAGCAGAAATCAGCAACTGACCATCTCTTTGCCACGTACAGCCTATAAGGTGTATGTACCTTCTATAGGCCCTCACCCAGACCTGTGAGCCTGGAGTACAGACAGTGGTTGCGAGACTAGCTGGCATGCTGAGTGAACCATCCCTCATTCTTTGAGGGAGCCATCTTGCAAAGCTAGTCACTCAGAGTTCTTGTTGCAAAGGATAGGGAAGAAAGGAAAGCAATAAACAGCAGGAACAGAGCGCTTGTTTTCTCTGTCGGATAGGGAAGAAAGGAAAGCAATAAACAGGAACAGAGCACTTGTTTTCTCTGTCTGCATATGTACGTTAAGCTCTTTGTGAAGGGTAAGTTTTTTAGATGTGATTTAAAAGCACAATAGCATCTTGGAGTAATGCTTCTGGCTTTGGAAAATAGCTATTGAATGGGTTTTTAAAAAATAAAGTCAAATGCAAAGAAATCAATGGAGATGAGATTTTAATTTGGTCATTCAGAGCCTTTAAAAGAATTTCAAGAAATTGTCAAGAAAAACTAGATATTTTGGTGACCTGATAAGTTTGTATAGGTGGGAGGTAGCCAGGACAAGACCTTTTTTTCTCTCTAAAAAAAGAAGTGAAATGGTTCAGTTCAGGCCTGCTAGTCTTTCTCATGTCATGCATTTGTTGGTCTTCTCTCCCCCCTGGTATTAGTAAACTACTGAAGGGACATTTATATAGGGGTTGGAGAAGTTGAGATATTTTAATCTTATAATGCAAAGTAGCATAATTTTTATCTCTGCAAACAATATTTGAACAATCTGATGTTGTTTTTTTAACTGACGGTTCTTTTATAGTGTGAAACAGCTAATTGACCTCATAAATTAGGCACTAGCAAGACATGAAAAACATGCTTTTGTTTTGTGTTCAAATAGACACAGCAAGATTTTTCTTAAGTAGTTTGAAATAAAGAGAAATTATAACTTTTTTTAAAAAGTTGTCTTTTTGTAGTTTTGTAGAATTTTGCATTTTTCCCGAAGCATTCTGAAAAGATGGGTGGTCATTTTCTCTAAGTGGGCGGGAAATACAAATACCATAAAAGACGCAAAGATACGGTGATTACAATGTTTGTCCATTTGTCTTCAGGGGCTGTTTGTTTTATGGTCCTCCTGGAACAGGTAAAACTTTGGTAGCTAGAGCTCTGGCCAATGAATGCACCCAAGGAGAGAGAAAGGTTGCGTTCTTTATGAGGAAAGGAGCAGACTGTCTCAGCAAATGGGTTGGTGAATCTGAACGGCAACTCCGACTCCTGTTTGACCAAGTTAGTATTCCAGATTTTAATTTGGTCATTCAGAGCATTTAAAAGAATTTCAAGAAATTTTCAAGAAACACTAGATATTTTGGTGACCTGATAAGTTTGTATAGGTGGGAGGTAGGCAGGACAAGAACTTTTTTTTTCTCTAAAAAAAGAAGTGAAACGGTTCAGTTCAGGCCTGCCAGTCTTTCTCTTGTCATGCATTTGTTGGTCTTCTCTCCCCCCTGGTATTAGTAAACTACTGAAGGGACATTTATATAGGGGTTGGAGAAGTTGAGATATTTTAATCTTATAATGCAAAGTAGCATAATTTTTATCTCTGCAAACAATATTTGGACAATCTGATGTTGTTTTTTTAACTGACGGTTCTTTTATAGTGTGAAACAGCTAATTGACCTCATAAATTAGGCACTAGCAAGACATGAAAAACATGCTTTTGTTTTGTGTTCAAATAGACACAGCAAGATTTTTCTTAAGTAGTTTGAAATAAAGAGAAATTATAACTTTTTTTAAAAAGTTGTCTTTTTGTAGTTTTGTAGAATTTTGCATTTTTCCCGAAGCATTCTGAAAAGATGGGTGGTCATTTTCTCTAAGTGGGCGGGAAATACAAATACCATAAAAGACGCAAAGATACGGTGATTACAATGTTTGTCCATTTGTCTTCAGGGGCTGTTTGTTTTATGGTCCTCCTGGAACAGGTAAAACTTTGGTAGCTAGAGCTCTGGCCAATGAATGCACCCAAGGAGAGAGAAAGGTTGCGTTCTTTATGAGGAAAGGAGCAGACTGTCTCAGCAAATGGGTTGGTGAATCTGAACGGCAACTCCGACTCCTGTTTGACCAAGTTAGTATTCCAGATTTGTCTTCAGTAGTTTCTTTTAGGGCTGAACGTGAACAGGGAGGGGAACCAAATCTTTCAATAATGGCTGAAAATGCCCTCCCCTTTGCAGTGTCCTGGGGGAGGAGGAGGGTTGGAAGTGAGTCAGAATCTTCACTCATTCTCAGAATAAGGGCAGTACAATGCAGGAAATACTGCCCATTTTCCAAACTGGTTGAGTTTGTCATCATGTCACCAAATCAGGTTGTCTACAGAGGTCATTTCGGGGGGGATCGCGGCGGCGGCCAGGACCGTTGGGGGCGGGGTGTGTGGCCTTATGACACACTTCCGGTGATGTCAGGGTGTGTGGCATATGCTAATGAGTTATGCTAATGAGTTCCCCTAGCTCTTTTTCTACGAAACGACCCCTGGTTGTCTACATAATGTCATGAATATCAGTCGAGGAAAGAGAATCCTTTCTTAAAAAGAAAAGTATAGAGTCAGTTTTATAGCAGAAACAGTGGCTGCAAATAGTCATGAAAATCATCAAGACTGGTACACATATGGTGGCTTGGTTTTGTTATGTGTTGTGGTGGCATACTCTCCAAAGCGCTACATCTGCCAAATAAACATTTGGTGCGGCTCTAGTTTCATTGTATCAGTATTTAATTGCACAGAGTAGGTACATCCATATGAAGGAAATGGAGTGGCATCTCTAGAGAGTCTGGATTTCCAGTCTGGAGAGAACATCCATATGAAGGAACAGTGTTTTTGTGGAATGTCAGTGTTTTTGTATCTAAATAAGTTTAAGGTACTGGTGGAGATGCATATTTATCAGAATGTTAGAAGATGTGATAGCAAGCTGCTAAGAATTTTTGTTGGAGCTCAAGTACAAGAACATCTTTAGTAGGAGTGAAAATGTACAAGAGACCAACTTTATATGATTGATTTTGTAATTTCCGAACACATTCTGTATAAGGAGGAATTCTGGGCTTTTTTGTATGTAATGTCATGTCTGTATGTCAGAAACTGGATGACCATTCTTAGATGATTCCGTCACTGAAGTTTACACACAAGTGCAGTTTTAGTCCCAATCATGATCGACCACCTTGGGGCTAGCAGATGATCGAGGAGAGTGTGGTGGAAAGAAAGGTGCCTATATTTTGTTCATGGGTGCTTCATTTTATTTGTGCAGTACATGGCATACTGAGAGCAGGGGCAACCGCTGTGCCATAAAAATATACGCTGTATTTTGATCCTAATAGATCTGAAACAATCTTTTCTGTTCTTGTGGCCGTTCCATTCTGCAGACGGTCTGGGAAGTAGGCTGGTCTGTTCTCTTCATGAGTGTTCAGGCTCTGTAATAAAGTTGGAATCACCTAGCAATAAATCTTTGCAGACAAGGAATTATGTTGTGCAGTGGGGCTATTGTGAGTTCATTGACCCTTAAACTGAAGGAAGCATGTGCTTTGTGGAAAGAGGCAGATTGTCAGCGGTCCCTCTGCCTGTCCAAGATGAATGGGATACAGGAGTGTCCAAGATGAATGGGATACAGGAGTAAAGTAATACACGAAGTACACATGGGGCCTCGTTTCCTGTCAGGTGCATTCAGAAGGAGAAAAGGGTTTCAGCACCTTGTTAATAAGCTAATTTCTGTGATAGATATTACTGAAATGAAACCGGAGTACCTTTTGGTTAATGCAGCAGTCTTTGTGGAATAAAGGTGGTGCCATTTAATGGTTTTTATGTCTTTGCAATAGTTTAAGTTAGAGATACTGTTCAGAAAGACATAAAAAGAGCCCTGTAGGATCAGGCCACTAGTTGCCTCTGGTTGAGCATCTTGTCTGACAGAGTCGCCGGCTGGTTACTCCGGAGAGTCAGCAGTAGGGCATCAACAATAAAGTGCTTCCGTAGACAGGGTCTTAAGTCATTGTAGTGAATGAATGAATGAAGCAATAGTTTAAGTTACAGATACTGTTCAGAAAGACATAAGAAGAGCCCTGATGGATCAGGCCGCTGGTTGCCTCTGGTTCAGCATCTTGTCTGACACAGTCGCCAGCTGGTTACTCGGGAGAGTCAGCAGTAGGGCTCAGAGGCCAAGGCCTTTCCTGTTGTTGTTCTGCATGAGTGGATGGGTTGTGCCTACTTGGAAAGGAATGGGTTGTAACAGAATGCAAAGAACTGTAGGTTTTTTGAGGCCTTGCTGCAGAGATAGAGTAGTATAACTTTGACCTTTTGAATCCTGTCAGTTCTGCCTTGGAAGAGCTGTGTCAGTGCCCTGCTCCATCTAGTATAGAGTATAAAACAGCCCTAAAATCTCTTTTAAGGAGATGACTCAATGCAGTGGTTTTCAACCTCTTGTATCTTACATCTCACCAGTAACTATCAAAGAACTCAGGTTCTATCATGATAGAAACAAAAAGCCCACCTTTCCCAAGAAGGACATTTATATGTTTACAGGCATTTAAGGACATAACAAGATTGTACAAGCACAATGGATAATCTGTGGCAGGTCGTGCATCAAAGGCACTTGCTGGTGGGTGGGGGGAATGGGGAGTTAAGAGAAACACCTAGTTTCCAAGTTTTTTACAACCATATCAAAAGTCAGAAATTAATGGATAAAGCAGGGAGAAGAAATACTGGAGATCTTGAAGAGGACAATAAAAGGAATCTAATGTTGTGCAGCTAAAGCTTATAAATTCTGCATATGAAAGCGTGCGATCTTTCAATGTGTGTGATCTTAATTCAGTGGGGAAAATCTACAAGCCTCTATCTTTCTTACCCAGTGCCATTTGTACAGATGTCATAAAAATGACTGGAAGTGGCTTAGTGGAAATGGTCACAGTTTCCATTGTCTCAGAGTGGCTTTAAGCAGTATTTATCTGATGCCAACTTTATATAGGCAGATTTCCCGAACAAGGAACCTTGTTTTATAAAGGTCCTGAATTTCCTTACTTGTAGCAGACCAAACTTCTCTGTTCAAAAAACATTTTCCTAAACTCCAGCTTCTAATATTTGCACTACTCTCATGAGGCCCATAGATTGTTACAAGTGCATGATTGACAATGTAATCAGACTTACAATCACGTCATTGGACTTAAAATCGCATCTTTAAACTAAGATATAATTTCCTGCGGAAACAACATAAAAAATCAGTCCATCAGGCAGGCATTTATTACGGCAACAAGCCATAGAACACACATGCTTAAATATAACATTTATAACATTCATACAACTGAATTTAGGACAGTAAAATAAAACTATATAAAAATACAGTTGATCGTAATAAAGTAAAAGAAGAACATAAAACAGAGACTATTAGGCAACTATTATTATATATTTGATCGTGTATTTCGGATGCAGTAGCATGCTACCCAAAATTTTGCCACAGTTTCGGTAATTGTCCGGTTCCCATTAATTAACAATCAGTTACACTGCTCAGCACCTGATTGTCCCACTATATCTGTTATAAGAGGAGTAATATATTTGTCACGGATCTTGTTATACTAGTTACATCTGTTACAAAAGTCTGCAAACGTACTGAGAGCTCTTCTAAGTCCAACTGGTGTTCTAGCTAAGATGATAGCATCGTCAGCATACAATGGATAAAGCAGGGAGAAGAAATACTGGAGATCCTGAAGAGGACAATAAAAGGAATCTAAAGTTGTGCAGCTAAAGCTTATAAATTCTGCATATGAAAACGTGCGATATTTCAATGTGTGTGATCTTAATTCAGTGGGGAAAATCTACAAGCCTCTATCTTTCTTACCCAGTGCCATTTGTACAGATGTCATAAAAATGACTGGAAGTGGCTTAGTGGAAATGGTCACAGTTTCCATTGTCTCAGAGTGGCTTTAAGCAGTATTTATCTGATACCAACTTTATATGGGCAGATTTCCCGAACAAGGAACCTTATTTTATAAAGGTCCTGAATTTCCTTACTTGTAGCAGACCAAAGTTCTCTGTTCAAAAAACATTTTCCTAAACTCCAGCTTCTAATATTTGCACTACTCTCATGAGGCCCATAGATTGTTACAAGTGCATGATTGACAAAGGTAATCAAACTTACAATCACGTCATTGGACTTCAAATCGCATCTTTAAACGAAGACATAATTTCCTGCGGAAACAACATAAAAAATCAGTCAGTCAGTGAGGCATTTATTACGGTAACAAGCCATAGAACACACATGCTTAAATATAACATTTATAACATTCCTACAACTGAATTTAGGACAGTAAAATAAAACTCTATAAAAATACAGTTGAGCGTAATAAAGTAAAAGAAGAACATAAAACAGACTATTAGGCAACTATTATTATATATTTGATCGTGTATTTCGGATGCAGTAGCATGCTACCCAAAATTTTGCCACAGTTTCGGTAATTGTCCGGTTCCCATTAATTAACAATCAGTTACACTGCTCAGCACCTGATTGTCCCACTATATCTGTTATAAGAGGAGTAATATATTTGTCACGGATCTTGTTATACTAGTTACATCTGTTACAAAAGTCTGCAAACGTACTGAGAGCTCTTCTAAGTCCAACTGGTGTTCTAGCTAAGATGATAGCATCGTCAGCATACAGTAAGATAGACACATGCTGTTGTTGAAGTTTTGGTGGATGTAAGCTGGGGGAGTCCAGGTAACTTACTATATCATTAATATATAGATTAAACAGGGCAGGGGCTAGTACGCAACCCTGCCTAACTCCCCTATAGGTGTTAATAGGGTCCCATAAATTTCCTTTCCTGTTAAGCCTAACCTGCAAATGGGTGTTATCATGAAGAGCCCGCAACAAAAAGAGGAGCCTTCTATCAATTGAGGAAACTTCTAAGCCGGCCCACAATTTCGGCCTCGATATTGAATCAAAAGCCGCTTTCAAGTCAATGAAAGCAGCAAAAAGCGAATTAGGACCTTTAGCGGCATATTTTCCTATAAGGTGTTGAATTGTAAGGCAGTGATCTAAACTCTCTAAAACCAGCTTGCTCTGTCACAATCACATTTTCTTGGATCAGCCAATCCTCAAGCTTTATCAGAAGGTATTTAGCATATAACTTGCAACATATATTTAAAAGGCTAATAGGCCGATAATTTGCGGGCTCTTCTCTTGCACCCTTTTTGAATATGGGGACCACTATTGCCGTATTCCACTCTGAGGGGATAAGGCCTGAAGAGTCTATAAAAGTGAAAAGGGCTACAAGGAAGGGTGCCCACCAATCGATATTTTTCTTTAAAAAATTCAGGTGGCAGTCTGTCAGACCCTGGAGCCTTAGCAGATTTTAATTGAACAATATACGGTAGATTTAATTTCCTCTTGAGAAACTGGTGGCCAGGAAGGCAAGTCCTCAAAATCAGCAGTTGTCACTGGGGTTAAGGGGAGAGTCTTTATACAATTGCTCAAAAAAAAGTAACCCATTTGCAGGGCTGTATTGGGGGCATAATTTTTTTTTTTTAAAATCTAATCTTGAATATATTTTATGTGGTATAGAATAAAATGTGTAGTCTCTTTGACGTGGATGGAAGTTTCCAGGTTTCAAACATGGTTTCCCTTGATTGAACAGAGAAAGGTTTTTGGCAGGGATTTTAAAGTAATATTATTTGTTATTTATCAAGTTTTGCATCCAGAGCACCATTAAAACTTCACCTGACCAGAATTATCTAGAAATGTTCTAAGTCAAGTTTGTTTCAGCAACTGAAGATACAAAAGCCCTAGAGTTTGGAAAATAAATAAATGTGTTTCATGTTGATGATAAATATTGTTTCCTGTTCACCAGGCATACCTAATGAGGCCATCCATAATCTTTTTTGATGAAATAGATGGCTTGGCTCCAGTCCGTTCAAGCAGACAAGACCAGATTCACAGGTAATACCGGTGTGTTACTTCCGAACGTGTTGTCCATTTAACCATATAAAAGTGCTCATTTTTAATTTAATCTGGGCTAGGATATATTTCTTGCATATTAGGAGGGGGAGTTTAGTATAAAAAATGGCATTAAAAACTTACTACACAGTTCTACGTGTTGGAGCCAGTGAACTGGGACTGGGGTAGTTCTGCTCATGGAGTGTATAAATAAGTACTGCTTTTGGGCAGGTTTTGGGATCTGGGGAAGGGGCCATGGCTCAGTGGAAGAGCCTCTGCTCTGCATGCAGAAGGTCCCAGGTTCAATCCCCAGTGTTTAAATGTTTTGGGATCTGGTGGTTGTTGAGTGATTTAATCCCTGGCTTCTCCAGGCATAGGACCTCAGGTAGCAGGTGTTAGAGGAAGACCTTTCTCTACTTGACACTGTAGGCCCACTGCCGGTCAGAGTAGATGGTACTGAGCTGAATGGACCAATCCTCTGAGTTGGTATAAGGCAGCTCCATTGTATGTTTGCATACATGTTTGGGTGATAATCTAGATAAAGAGCTAAATGGAAGTTCAGTCACACCTTAGAGACCAGCAAGATTTTTTGGGTATAGGTAAAGTAGAGGAACTCATAATAATGGCTGAGCTGTACAAAATTTCTAGTTCAGCAGTTTTGTGATGAAGTCACCATTTGAAGTACTTTTAGTGAGTAATGGTGCTCTTAAGGTCAGCAGCAAGTGTGCCTTGGGACTCATCTTAAGTGTTAATGGGCTTGATGAGCATGGACTAATTAGTTTGTAATGGGACCGTCTGTGTACTTTCTGCATGGCTGTTGATGTGTTTTTTGAAATAGTGCATTTGCATGTTTTATTCTTTCTAAGTGAAATTAATTAGAAAATGTTGTTTTAGCTCTATAGTATCCACCCTGCTTGCTCTCATGGATGGGCTGGACAACAGAGGCGAAATAGTTGTCATTGGTGCTACAAACAGACTTGATTCTATAGATCCAGCACTCAGGAGACCTGGTCGCTTCGACAGGGAATTTCTTTTCAGCTTGCCAGATCAAAAGGTAAAAAAAAAAAGTTAAAGGACACATCTAACTGTTTTTTAAGCTGCATGAAAAAATTCCTTAGAACCTCTCATTAAAAGAAACATAGTGATAGCAGCACAATACTCAGCACTCTTAAAAGCATAACCATTTTGGGCAAAAGCCAACATGTATTTGAGGATTATTAAGCCCATTAAACTCTGTGATGGTCTTTACAATTACATATGCCAATATTTAGACACAATCCTCCTCTTCTTTCTCCACCCTTCCATTTTGTAGGTTTCTTTTGCTTTCGTTACTCAATTACCTATGCTAATTTTTTTAAATGAAACAAACTATTACTAGTTCCAAAGTAGGCTGTTTATCTTATCTTAGTTTTGAAAAGAAACTCTCTGGGTAAGCAGTAGTATTAAATGGGCTAACCTTTCTCCACGCTGGCAGTGTCAGTAGAAATACCAGCTTTCCATGCCAATGTGGTGTAGTGGTTAAGAGCGGTGGCTTCTAATTTGGAGAAACATGTTTAATTCTACACTCCTACACATGATGCCTGCTGGGTGACTTTGGGCAAGTCACAGTTCTGTCAGAACTCTCACAGCCCCACCTACCTCACAAGGTGGTTGTTGTGGGGAGGAGAAGGGAAAGGCGATTGTAAACTGCTTTGAGACTTCTTAAGGTAGTGAAAAGTGGGTTATAAAAACCAACTCCTCCTCCTCTTCACAATGTGAACAGGCTTGGGACTTGCTGGAAAGATCCAAGTTATACCCAGAATAGAAATATCATTGCTTGGTCACAGGTACAACAGCAAACCATAGTTTGGTGCTATGGGAAGAAGCCTGGGAGATCTTTGGGCTTGCATGCTTTTTCTTCCCCTCGTGCACAGACAAATGATTAAATAGTTCTGGGTTTGTATGCTGAGCCGCGCTTTGCTATTAAATCCCAATCAGCAAGTTGTGGTTTTAGGCCTGACCTGCGCTGAAAATTTCGGGCTCCTATTTGGAATCCTGGTGTGACAGGCTCAGTTCCAACTCTCCCTGAGAGCAACCAGTGAGAGCTGACAGAATGTTGGGGGGAGAGAGCTGGAAAACAGCAGTTAAGAACAGCCATTGGGAGTTGGCAGTTGGGGAGTTGAGGGGGAGAAGAGGTTGTCTGACTGAGTGAAAACTGTGGAGAAGAGCCACTTAGAGTGGGCTGAAAATAGTCAGTTGGTAAACAAAGGATCCCAGTTGTGGGAATAGGACCACAGCTGAGAAGTTCAGTGGAAGCAAAACAGTGTAACTTCTACCTTACTTTCTTCAGTATTTTATTAATACCATAGGTAAAAGTTAACCTCTTGTTTTGTTTAACCCCATGGGCTGTGTTGTCTCAGGGAAAGCAACACACAGGTGCAAGTTAGTACCCCGGCCTATATATCTATTATAGCTGGGGTGTCAAACATCCGGCCCGCAAGGCCCTGGCTGTTTCTTATTTTCTTTTCCAGTTCTCTTGCTGCTGCCACGCCACAGCTTGCTTTACCAGTCTTTCTCAATCACACAGGAGAAATAGATAGGCAAGCCTCTCCTGTGCGATTGAGAGAGTCTGGTAAAGAGCTGGGTGAGGTTCCTCCCAGCCACAGCCAGTTCTTTACCAGGTGGAGGGGGGGGGGACAGCCACAGCCAGCTTCTTGGCCAGGCTGCAGGAGACAAAGGGAAGCCTTTCTTCCGTTCCACTGCCTGAGGCTCCTCTCTGAAGAAAGGGGGAGGGAATGAGGGATAGCTTGTTTTGCTAGGCTGCCTGAATCACACGGGAGAAATACCAACAAAGTTTTGTTCGAGGTATGAGCTTTTATGTGCCTTGCTACAGCGTGTGTGTGTGTTTTGCGGGTTTGTTTAAGCCAGGGCTCTCCTGGGTGCAACTGGGTTCTCTCCCCCTTTTCACTGTGTTTGTGCCCTCATGTTCCAGTCTTTCTCAGTAAGAAAGCAATGTGAACTATTTTAGAGGAGGAATAACAACAATCCAGTGAGGTGGATTAGGCTGAAAGTGTGTGTGTCCAGACCAAGTTCACCCAGTAGGAAGTTGTAGTTATTTTTCTGGGGAAGAGTACAGTTTTGTAGACAAACACATGGCCCTCAGCCTTCTCATGTTCTTGACCAGCACATGAAGCAACTTATGTACAAAAGATTGCAATGCCCAGCCATTTCATGTTTTCCCCTGGGTCCTAGGCTAGGAACACTGAGCATGAGATTTCTGTAATGAATGTCAGTAAATCAAAAGTAGGTATTCATCTTACAGATACACACCTGAACAGCATACTCTGTTCAGAGTATTGCTACAGCACAGACATTTTGATGCAGTAATTCAGAGCAGAGGTGTCACTTATTAGAGACTGTTAAATAGACAAAATATTGCAAGAGTGCTAGTGTTTCAAGCATGTTTTATTTAAAGTTTAAAACAATCTTTAATTGTCTCTGTCCTTTATAAAGTTTACATCTCCGCTAGCTGGCATTACATTTTATAACACACATGGCCCGGCTCAACAAGGTCTCATTTATGTCAGATCCGGCCCTCGTAACAAATGAGTTCGACACCTCTGTATTATAGGATATGAATAAATAGTGGCAGTATGTTAATGGAACAGTGTTTGAGCAACAACCCCTATAATTCTATATGAGTGAGGGCCTGTTATTAAAGGACTCGGCTACCCTGTCTGCTGATGTTTCTGTGAGTGGGAGAGAGGATCTGAGAGGGGAAATGGATAAGGTTCTCTGTATATTTGAGAAGAGACAAGAAGGGTAGCTTGTGACGTCCTGACCTACTTGTAACCCTGAACCTCTGAGAGAGGTTTTAGAGGGCAGGAGGCACTCTGCATGAGTGGAGAAGGCCCATCTCACCGGTTTCCTAGGCAAGTGCAGACTATAAAATGCTGGGGAAAGGAATCGAGCAAGCCTGAAGACTCCTGGAGCCTCTTTCACATAGAACCAGTGGGTTAACTGTTGTATATGAACCAAGTCTGTGCATATTAGAACTTGAGTTTCTTAATGTTTTCTCATGTGTTTTACTGTATGCCTATCTTTGTCGAAATTACTACTTTGAACTATTAAAATAAATGTTCTGTTAGATTGAATTAATCAAGCATTTTCTGCTGTTTATCTGTGGTTTATCTGTTTATCTGTGGTATTAAACAACTTGTGAAAGATTAAATAGAAACGTGTGTGTTTGCTTCATTTTGGAATCGAGCAAGCCTGAAGACTCCTGGAGTCTCTTTCACATAGAACCAAACTGTGGGTTAACCAAGTATATGAACCAAGTCTGTGCGTATTAGAACTTGAGTTTCTTCATGTTTTCTCATGTGTTTTACTGTATGCCTATCTTTGTCGAAATTACTACTTTGAACTATTAAAATAAATGTTCTGTTAGATTGAATTAATCAAGCATTTTCTGCTGTTTATCTGTGGTTTATCTGTTTATTTGTGGTATTAAACAACTTGTGAAAGATGAAATAGAAACGTGTGTGTTTGCTTCATTTTAAATAGAAAGGAATAAAACAAGCGTCACTTGCTACAAAATTCTGCATGGTTTTAGAGCAAAAAATACACTGAGCTTTAACTGGCATATTCTTTTAAATTTAGCAATAATTTGAAGAAGAGTACAGTAAAGTTAAGGGTTTTTCTGTGTGTATGTGATGTTTTATTGTGATGTTGCTCTTAATGCTAAATTTCTTATTTCTTTACAAGGCAAGAAAGCACATTTTACAAATTCATACCAGGGACTGGAACCCCAAATTGTCAGATCCTTTTTTAGGAGAGTTAGCTGAGAAATGTGTCGGTGAGTGGTATCATATTAGTGCTTTCACTTTAGATGTACGTTTTAAATGCCTGCGTATTAAGTTTTGTGTGTGCATCCAATCCTTTGATTAAGCATTTAATTTTAGGGGGGATAAATTAATGTGTACTAGACAGTGTAATATAACTAATTTATTATTCTCATGCCATCTTTGGTCTTTCCTGTCAGTATCATAACTCCTCAATAAAAATAGGTTGAAAACTTGGCATGGCCCCCACGATTCCTTTATAGAACATGGAAAGCTGCCTTAAAGCCCATGAGAACGCTGTTCATCTACAGGAAAATAGATGTCAGTCTTTTTATACTACAAATAAAATTGGATAACAACGTTTTACTATATGTGTGTCAACAAAGTGCAGTTCAGGGTGTTTTTTTTCTTTCTGAAAATGGTTTTGCATTGAAAAGACTCATGAGCTAACAATCCAAGTGAAGCTAAAATGTGATTTAGGGCATGCTAGTGACTTGTATGGGATAGAAAATGATTTCTCTCTCTCTAAAGTTGGGCACTGTGAATATCTGAAATCCGCTGTGGAGCACCAAACATGGAATACTGAGTAGTAGATTGGCTGTTGAGAACTAAAAATAGTTGCTTTACCTGTAGATTGGAAAAGCTTGACATGTTTTAAACATAGTTAATAAAACCTGTAAAAAAACCCAACCCATGGCCAACTCAAAACAATTTTTCATCTTCTGCCAATCTCATGCAGTCAACATTTTTTAAAGAGAAACAACTGCTTCAAATCAATTTGGGTCTACATCAAAACAGTAAAATTTTAAACTGAACACAGTCCATTCAGTCAGCTACTGTACATCCGAATTATCCTCTTCATCCACAGGGACATCTATCTTGGAAGCAGCATTCCTCCACTTTTGATCTGCAAAGACCCCAACATCTTCTGGTGAGAAGAAAACCAAAATATCCAGCAAATGACAAATTAAACTTTGCCTGGTGTAAGAAAGCATGTGCCAAACCCCATTTCATATAGATTTTTCTAGAGAATTTGCAAAAGTCACTTAGCGGGAGAAAGATAGGATAACATAATAACATTTCCCCACCGCCAGTAGTTCACCATATTTCAGTTTGGAAAAAAATTATAATACTTTAAGATTGCAAGAACATCTCTTGTAGATCTTCTTTGGAAATATACTGTGATGTACCCAATTGAATTTGCAGAGAAGACGTGTTAGAGGGGAGAAAACAATCAGACTGTATGCTCTGATTTGCCCTCTGAGCATAATTTATATTTCTAAAGTGTGCTATCTCAGTGCACTTTTAAAAATTTGCAGTGTACATCTAAGTCAAAGACAAGTCTAGCTGCCAACACTTTAAAAGAGATCGTCTCATTTCCGTTTGAAGAACTTGGAATGTGTTAGCATATTCAACATACTGAAATTCATTGGGACATATTGATCATGCCTATTTCTTTTAGTCCTCCATTTGATGCAGTTGCTAACACTTCTCATCAGTCTCCTTTTGGGGGAACTGCTTGCTTTTGATATGACCGGCTACAGACATTTGGATTATAAAAAAAACCAAACCCCTATGACTTGATTGTCTGGAAATAATTTTGCTCTCTAGAAGCAGCAATCATGAGCGGACTGAGAGTGGTCACTTGTGTAGGGCTTGATTTTAAGAATTGGAACAGAGGTTGTGTTGTCACTTGTGTGTGATTTTGTGATGCTTATCTAGTTTGACAGCTATCAGTTGTATTTGTTTTAAAAATTACATGCGAGGATTTTATGTGAGGGGTTTTAAAAAAGTTAATCTGCAGAGATGTGCATGCAAGGCTACTAAAACTAACAACTGTGGGAGGAGAAACAAGTATTGTGAGTCTCATTTTGTTGGAAGTGTACAGAAGTAACTGAGAAATAGTCATATGTATGGAAGAGATTGCAATGTGCAGTCAGACTCTGTGACCTAAGGCTTGGTCTTGAATGCTATTCCCTGAATGTATTTGCTTCCATAGGAGCCATTGTCAAAATAACAGTGGTGCAAAATTCCCACAAAGGGGGTGTTTCCAAGTGACTGAAATAAGTGAGTCCCGCCACGTTTTTAGGTAGAATGGATAACAAAAACTCCCTGGATTTATTTATAACCAATTTGATGCAGAGGAAGACTCTTCCTGTATGTAGATGTCTAATTAGGGTATTAGAATAAAGTTGTAAGATATTTGAGTCTGTCTCAGTTGAAACCAGAGAATTTCTTCAAGAACCTAACTATTCCTAGCAGATTGCTCCAGAATTTTTGGAAATTTTTGGAAATGCACACTTAAAAGTGTTACTGGATAATGGATAATAGACATTAGCTTTTGTTTGTCCTCAGACATCTCTAACCAAAACACTCTTTCAGTGTGCTATAGTACCCTTCAGACACATTGGCAGAATAAAATAATATTCCCTCTCCTTTTTTTCTTTCCAAACAGGTGAGGCAATCTTAATCCCTGGTCCTAAAATAGGTTAATTGGTTAAACAGAATTGGTTCCAAACAATTTATGCAGACCCTTCAAGCCACTGATTGTAGACTAGTGCAAATGTTCGTGGGCCTTGCTTGAATGGCACAGCAAAATACAGTTAAAAGAAACATGCAAATAGAGGAATTGGGAAGAGGAAGGAGGTGGCACATGAGCCCCCAGTTGGCCCAGTTCTACCAAACAACTCCATTAGAACTTGGCCACTGAACGTTTGATGAAAATCAAGTGGTCTTTCCCCCTTTACATTTAATATCAATGTATACTTTCATATGATACGTGTGCTATTTGGTATATAGTTAAAAAAGATAGCCTTTTTTTCTGTGTACAAAACTGAAGTCTACCTTGCACAGTCACTACATACCTTCCTGTTACTGGTCCTTCTGTCTGTAGCTTTGATCATCAGACCTCTTTTCCATTTGTATATGCTTTTCCCCAACTTACCACATCCCTGCCTCATTTCAGACCATGCATTCTTCTGATGCACTCATAATTTTGGTTGTTATGAGGTATAAAAATATAAACAATATAAATGTTCTGAACAGTCACTACTTTTTTATAATTTAAATTTGAATACATCCAAGAACAGCTTCACAGATCTTGCCTTCCTCCATTGAAGGTCCTTCCCAACCTACTGTAGCATCTCTGTGCTTAAATTGAACTGCCGTGAGCCCTGTAAGGGAGAGAGTGTAGTATGCATGCTTGAAAATAAATAGTAAAAATCTTTCTTTTCCAGCTCCTCACTGTTTAATGCTTTGCAAAATCTGTCATTTTGAAATCAAATTTATTGGCTGTTGTATTAAGCAAGATGGTGGGTGAAAAGCCAGATTGTCAGCTGTCCAAAACTGAATGAAGGCAGCAGGCTATGCAGAGTTCTCCTTATAGCCACCACTCCTGCAGCCTGACACCCTTGTGCTAAAAGATCTGCACTGGTTATCCATGTGTTTCCAGGCACAAGTAGAAGTGCTAGATCTTCCCTTTAAGGCCCTGAATGGCTTGAGGCCAAGGTACCTGAAGGACAATCTGCTTCTATACTATCCAGTTTGCCATTTAAGATCTGCCTCTCAAGCCCTAATCTCTGTGCCTCCTGCCTTCAGTGGTGGGACAGGCGGCGCCTCGCCTTATGAATGCCCTCTCCCTTGAGGCTTGCCTAGTGCCTGCTTTACTTTCTTTCATGGCCTTTTTTATATTGCCATGTTGATTCAATTGTAAGCTGCTTCAAGCAAGACTCTAAAGAGGGGTGGCATAGAAATATTCTAAATAAATAAGAAACGTAGGCATGATTCGCTATAAATTGCTCTTATTAAGAAAGGAGAGAATCAGGAACACCTGGGTTCTGACAGCAGTAGACCGCAAGCATGTTGCGGAATCTATTACAGTTCTGCAGGGCCTGCAAGATGGGACTCTTCCACTGGGCGTTTGGTTGAGGCGGCGGGTGTCCCTTCCCCTCTCCTGGCCAATCTCCCACCAGTGGCCTGGATCCAAATAGACATTGGGGTACCCACTGTTGTATTTTAATCAGTCTGACTGACTTCTGGTCTGATTTGTTTTACATGATATTTTATGATTCTATTCTGTTTAAATTGTTATTTTAAAGTTGTTTTAATTGTATTATATTAAGATCGATGTAAACTGCCCTGAGCCCATTTGCAGGGAGAGCGGTATATAAATCAAATAAATAAATAGCAGCTTTTGTTTGGAAATGTACTGTGCTAAATCTGATTTTTGAATACCTGGACACAATGCTTCCTCTAAGCTGTGGAGTCTTGTGAGCAAAAATTCAACTTTGCGAGCTACTGGCATTAAAGTTGTGAATGAGCCATTTGGCTACTGCATAAATTAATTTGCTCTGGAGCCGTCCTTCCTGAGTTAAGACAAAAATGTATGCCTTTCTTTCTTAAATTTATCTGTTTATGGCTTTTGGTTGTTTTTATGATGGATTTTAATTGTATTTATATATGTATTTTATGGAAGCCACCCTGAGCTTGCCTCGGTGGGGAGGGCCGGGGTATAAATTAAGTAAATAAATAAGTAAAAAACTGTGAGCTAGCTCACGCTAACTCAGCTTAGAAGGAACACTGCCTGGACATGGAGCCAACAGGTGAAAGAATATTAAGAGTTAAAATACAAAGTCTTTACTGGATTTAAGGCATTTTCCTTGTGGATTCAGCTGCCAGACTTGCAAAACCCTCCCCCTTTTTTCCTTTTTTACTAACCAGTAAGTTTCATCAAAATTATGTTTAGTGTTCTGCAAGAATGCTGAGTGCATTAAACCCATCTAATGAAAATATTGTGAACATATATAGTTTTCATCATTAGTAGCAGTTTGCTTTTCACAGTAAAAGATGAATGCAAATTATTCAGTTTTGCAAAAACGAAATCTTGAGTTTTCTTTCATATGCTTGCATAATTTGCATGGAGATCTTGGAATAAGAAGTGGGTGTAGTAATTTCAGGCATAGTCGTTTGAACATTCAGTTTGTATGCTGAACTTGCTTTTAGGCAGAAATGGGTCCCTTTATTTCAGGGTGGCATCAGCTGTCCCAGGGTCTTAGGCAGGGAAAGGTCTTACAGTGCCTACTACCTGAAAACCTTTGGTTGGACATGGCAGTGACTAAGACTGGGACCTTCAACATGCAAAGCATTCTCTCTGACACTGGGTCACAGTCCCTCCTTTCTTAAATTTGTCTGTTCAAGATTCTTTGGACCTGGTTGTGCATTTAATGACGTACGTTGAATTCAAAGTGTGCTGTAGCAGCAGCATCAGGTCTTCTATCTCTTATAACTATTTCTCATTCATGTCATAGATCCTAGGGTATTGGTTGGAAAGCATGTGTTGCAGACACCTGGCTGAACTAAGAAGGGATGGGTCTGGTCATTACCTGGATGAAAAACTACCTGTGTACATTGGGTATGAGCACAAACCAGGAAAATGGTGGTTTGTGTTTCATTTGATTACGTGAATCACGAACTTCCATGAACTCTTCCTGTTTCCTGAACTGGTTTGTGTTTGGTTTGGTTTGGGAGATGGTAGAACAGTCCCCTCGCAAGTTAGAAATGCCAAACTCACTGGGAGTCTGCAGCAGGCTCTCCTCCACCCACCCTCCAAGTTTGGTGAAGATTGGATATGGGATGTCTGAGATAGCCTCCCAAAGAGGGTGCCCCCAGGAAAGCTCAGCTCTAGCCTCCCCTTAAATCAGCCACGCCGCAAGCATTTCTTCCTAACTCGCTCTCACACAATGGCTAACTCCTCTCTCTTCCTGCTGCAAAGTGAAAACAGCTGAGTCAGGGTGTACACACACACACACAATTTGCTCCCATAGAGCAAAATGGGAGCTCTGTGGTTGGCTCCCAGAGCTTCCAATCAAGCTATGGACAACTGCTGTGGGTGTTTCTAGTGGTCTCCACAAGTCCACCCCGAGCATTGCCTAGGAATTGATTGAATCGGTGCCTGGCTATCTGGAGAATGAACTGCTCTAACAAACCAAACCAACCTCCATGGAAAAAAGGCAGCTTGTTTTTAGATTCAGGAATGATGCTATCAAATGAACTAGTTTGAAATGAACCACGAACTGGCCTGGTTTGTGCTTGAACTGCGGTTCCTTTTTTGGTTCGTGCCCATCCCTAGTGTACACATCTTTGAATTCCATTGTAGAAGAAACATGGGCTATAAACAATAGTATAATTGAAAAGGCTTAAGTATATACATTATTATATACCTAAGCTGTTAAATACAGTATTTACTCCCTTGAAATTGGGGAGAGGGAGAGAAGAGAAGGCATGTATTGGGCTCTGCATGTTGCTGTGCACTTGCTGAAGTTCTGTTTACAGATTACATCAAATCTTGGGGGGAAACACTGCTGCAATCTATATTTACTTTATTCATGTCTTAATAGGCTCTGTGTTTTTAGTCCCTCACTCCTATTCGAAGCCTTGCTGATATGTTTTGACAACTTCTGATTTGCATATACATTCCCCCCAAATTTGAGAAGAAGCTTGAATGCTGTCTCATTTACGTACTGCCCTTCCTTCAGAGGAGCTCATAGTGGCATTCAGAACATTCTTGTCCCCCTGTAAGGTAGGTTAACCTGAAAGGGAGATGAGATTGGTCCTTGGTACCCCAGTGAGTTTCATGGCTGAGAGGGGTCTGTAACCCATGTCTCTCCATGCATAGGCTGACCCTAAGCCATATGCTACACACACTCAGCATTTCTTTCTTTCTTTTTGCTTTTTTGTGTGTGCCATGGTAACCTCTGGTGACTCCTACTGGGGCGTGGAGGGCGTTCAGAGAAGTGGCTTGATAGTGCCTCCCGACCCTAGTATTCTATGGAGGTCTCCCTTCCAAATACTTGCCAGGGTCGGTCTCGATTAGCTGACAAGATTGGGCTTGCCTGGGCTACCCAGGTGAGGGCAGACTGTCCGCGTTTCAAAGTTCATGGAGGCAGTTCTCATGGGAGAAAATTTTTTTTTTTTGATTCTGAAGGGCTGTTTCCAATTGGCTCTATTTTTTTCTCTCCTGCCCCAACTGCAGACTTCACCAGTGCAAGCTGTTTTGGAAAGTCCATTGAGCCTCCAGAACAGCTTTTCAAAAAGTGCAAGGGCAGGGAAAGCTCAGCTGTGTGATTCAGAATTTGTGTACAGTTCTTTGGATGCATGTCAGTGTGGGAGGGGTCACCTTCTGTTTTACAGGAAAAAAATGAGGGTGGCAGTTTGAGAGCACAAATGGGTAACACACACACACAGCAGAGAAGCAAAACAAAAATTAGGCATCTTTAGGGATTTGAAAGTACGGGACTTTTAAATAAATACTGAAGCCCGACTGATGTGTGAAAGTCGTAGAATGTAGGTTGTGGGGAGCAAGAGAAACAAGATAATACGGTAGGAAACTTGTCAGAAAATTTCACCTTCTTTGTTGGTCATTGTTTTTTCACTACTGGCATGGTGTTAACATTTAAAAATTGAGAAACAGGGAAAGGTGCACATGAATTTTAAAAGTATGGTCTGCAAGGCCGGCTGACTTGGTATCGCTCAAGCTGAAGTTACTAGGCATGCAAGGTGGGCCCATCAGGGGATTTAAAAAAACCGTTGGTTGCAAAAAACATGAGGATTGTCAACCACTAGGCAGACCATAAACTGTTGAGGCTTGTGGGCTGCAACTCAGCTTGGCAAGTCACAAATTATATAGGCCAGAAAGATCTGTAATGACTCAATAAAGGAAGCCACGGCCCTCAGTTTGTAAGACCTGAGCCAGACTGTTAATGATAGGACTGTTTGGGGATCATTGATTCATAGGGTCACCAGAAGTCAGAAGGGACTTGATAGCACTTCTCTCCCCCCCCTTTCTCCCCCCCACTTCTCCACATGCAGTCACAGTTCTCTCAGAGCTATTCTCTCAAGAGCAGTTCTCTCACAGCTCTCTCAGTCCCACCTACCTCACAGGGTGTCTGTTGTGGGAAGAGGAAGGGAAATGAGATTGTAAACTCCTCTGAGACTCAAAGTGAAGGGCGGGGTATAAATCCAATCTCCTCCTCCTCCACTGTTGCTGCTGCTGCTGCTGCTGATCATGGCATAGTCTAACCTCCACGAATGTGCTTAGAAATGCTAGTCAGAGAAACTTTGTGAAATGCTGAGAATTTGCAACTCTTCGGAATTGCTGGCAGCTGCTGGCAAATGCATGGAGACTCTCAAATTGAGGGAACAGTCCCTCCAGTAATCAATTATGGTCAGGGTGTGACAGTTATTTTTCACTATGGAAGGGTGTTTTTTTTTGTCAGCATCCATGTGGCATCGGTAATTTGCGCCCAGTCCCTAAATCACATTAATGAAGTGCTTTTAAGTTAAAGTCATTTGCTGAAGATTTCTAACTAATTGGATCTTCATAGCGTTAGGAATTCTGTTTAGGCCTTCCGTTGCATTACTACATGAGCATATGCACTTTCCCACTGTTAGAGAGTGAGGGGAGGGCAACTTGAAAAAGGGAGAAGACTGGGAGGATTAAAATGAATACCCTGTGTTTCTTACCAGTTTCTGCCAAATTTAACTGAGAGCATAGTGTATAACTTCAGGAATGGCAGCTACATTTTTGGAGGCAGCCAAAAATTGTAAGTCAGAGATTTAGTGTTTCATTCAAGCTTCCCTGGAATAGTAAAAACAGTCCAGCAGGATGCCCACCTTGTATTATAGTATAATGGATATTTGAGAAATGCATGAGGTAGAGTTACACTAGCTATGTTTTTTTCAGAGAATAAGGCGGGAAACCTGCATCTCGGTGCAGGGTTGTTCTGTGATAGGCAGGTATTAGCATGGAAGGACAAAGACAGGATCTCTGCAGAGCACCAAAGCCCATTTCTGTTACAAATGCTTTCTGTATTGTGAACCTTCAGTTGATAAAACATCGTTTTAAAATAAGATATTCATAAGGACTCAACATCTTTTTTCCCCCCTTTTACTAAATGAATGCTTTGCTGTTGAATACCAGACTGCCAGATATTGGATTATCTGCTTATAATAGTGACCTTAAGTGTGTGTGTAGCATATACAGAGTCGAGGTAGTACTTGAATACCAATGTCATTTACCTTTCCCTCATTGCTTCCTTTGTGGTGAAATTTTTGCCTGCTTGCAGACAGCCTTGAAGATGGTTCTTGATGATTCATCATTGATTTAAGAGGGAGTTCTTAACATTTGCTGCTTCAGACTTGCCAGCTTGAGGGCCCATTTAGACTAGAGTTGTACCCATATTATGTACTCGCTGGAAGCAGTTTTCAATCTGTCAGTGCTGGCTGCTGCTGCTGCTTTCAGCTTCAGGCGAGTCCTTGATGTCTGCAAAATATTTTCTGCTGGTTCATGGAACATACGTGTTTCTCTCTCTCTCTTTTTTGTGTGTGTGCCCTAGGGTATTGTGGAGCTGACATAAAAGCACTTTGCACTGAGACAGCCTTGATCGCTCTGCGACGGCGTTACCCTCAGATCTATGCGAGCAGCCAGAAGTTGCAGCTGGACGTTTCGTCAATAGTCCTCAGCGCACAAGATTTTTACCACGCCATGCAGAACATTGTGCCTGCCTCACAGCGTGCTGTCATGTCATCGGGGCATGCACTGTCCCCCATCATAAGGCCGTTGTTGGAAAGTACCTTCAGTAGCATTCTGGCAGTTTTACATAAAGTGTTTCCCCACGCTGAGTTCAGCCAGGGTGACAAGAGAGAAGGTAATTCTATGTTCTCTTCAGTTTATTCTGCTTCTGTTTAAGGAAAAAGAGTGTTGTGTTATTTATTTATTTTAAAAAACCTTCTCTTTAATTACCCCCATTCTCTTATGAAGCTAAGGTATATAATGTTCTTCTCTCCTAAGGTGGCTTTGATCATTTATGACTCTGCTTTCCCTCGCATGTGGTAAACTGTTTCAGAAGCTGTTTGCAGTAGGACTCAGATACTTGGTCAGAGGAGAGAACCTCAAAATTGTCACTTGGTTCAGACCTCCATGTTCATTTTTGAATCCCAGCCACAAAATATACAGACATCTGTGTATACCAGAGTGGATATGGGATCTGAAGAAGAAGAGTTCGTTTTTATACCCCTCTTTTCTCTACCTTAAGAAATCTCAAAGCGGCTAACAATCATGTTCTCTTCCTCTCCCCATAAGAAACACCTTGTGAAGTAGGTCTGACATACCTGAGGGACTGCCTTTCCCCATATATACCCCGGAGAGCACTGCGTTCAGGGACCCAGAACCGACTGGTCCTCCCGAGTATCAAGCTGGCCAGATTGGCAACAACTAGGGCCAGGGTCTTTTCGGTGGCGGCTCCACTCTGGTGGAATGAGCTCCCAGAGGAGATCAGAGCCTTGTGGGACCTTTTACAGTTCCGCAGGGCGTGCAAAACGGAGCTCTTCCACCAGGCTTTTGGAGCTACCACCACTATCACCGCTATGACAACTGCAACCACTGGTGGTGCTATTACTAACAACTTACTGCCAATATTTGAAGCCCTGAGCCATAGGTCCCTGTGACTATTGCCTGGCCCAGGCCTTTCCCTCCCTTTTACAACTGAAGCAGACCAATAGAATCTTAGGTAATATTAGAAATGCTAGCACTTTAATATTGTTGATTTTAATACTGTTTTATATTATTGTATTATTTATTAATGTGATTAACTGAGTTTTATGTATCACGGAAATCTTATCCTGTTGTGAGCTGCCCTGAGCCAGCTTAGGCCAGAATGGGTGGGATAGAAATCAATAAAATCAATAAAAATAAATAAATAATAGGTGGAAAAGAGAGAGTTCTGAGAGAAGTATGACTGGCCTGAGGTTACCCAGCAGGTTTTATATGGAGGAGAGGGGACTCAAACCTGATTCTCCAGATTAGAGTCTGCCGCTCTTAACCACTGACATTGCTTTTAATTGTTTTCATCCCTTGAGTATTTAAGGGATATTTCAATTTAAGTATTGAAATACTTTCAACTGACGTTACTTTGAGACGCTGTATCCCTCTATCTCTGCCTCTCCCTACCTGCTGCAACCTCCCACACAAGCCCTGCTTCCCAGAAAGGGCACTGCTTGAAGGTTTGGGGGAGTCTCAGGAGTGGCATAGGGGGGGGCCTATAACTGGATAGGCAGATCTGCAGAAATTGTGGATTACTAATGAGGAATGCCTTCTGCTAATGTGGAGGGTAGGTTGTTGGATTAAAACCCATTCCAGCCCATTGTCATAACAGCATAAATATTTCAATTAATAGTAATTTATTATGATACTATAATTGTATAAAATTACATAATTTAAACTATGAACTATTATTGCATATGTGATTTTGATGGCTATTTTCCAGTGGCAGAAGGATATTTCCATTGCTGGTAGAGGGGGGATTATTTCTGCTGATTCTGTCCTCCCACTGTAGACCTCCCGAGTGTGATCTATGGTGTTTGTGTGTGTCCCCCTCCCCAAGCATTTTTTTCAGGTGGTATGGGAATGATGGAAGTGGGGAAGTCTTAATTTGTGAGCTTTGTTTCCATTTTTCAGAGTATATAATTTTATTACTTTTAAACTGATAGTATGTTTACATTATGGCAACTTTTAAGACTGACTGTTGGCATTCGGAGCTGAAAACCACAGGTATTTAATGCCTTGTTACACACTTTTGGTGATGTTTACATCAGGGCCAGTAATTATACAGATGAATAAGGGTCACATTTTGCTGGAAAGCAGCTGCCCTAAAAGGTATTTTAAAACTCTTTTTTTTGGGCAATGTGATCCAGTGGGAGGTGGGATTTTGGAGATCCAACTTCAGATCTCTGCTTGATCAAGTAGCTCATTTAGATTGTTTAGAAAGTCAGTATTTCTAAGTCAACACAGTATCCTCTGAAAGGAAAAAATAAAAATTGTGCAATAGGAGTGATAATATGTGTGCATGTTTATCTGCTATTTTCTGATAATTATTCCTGAGCTTATAGGGGTATGCAAGCTATAAACTGAATTGAGGAAATTCTTTGAATGATCCCAGGAAATGTTGGTCTTGGCCGTCTCTCTGTATTGCCACTTAAAAACCTAATCATTTGTGTGTCTGAGAAACTTCTTGGCAAAGATTGTAGGAATTCCTGCTTGATTGTATTGCTTCAAATAGCTTTGTTATTTTTCCTTTTAATAATAACTACCTTTTCTTTGTAGCCAGAATGGAAACTGTAATTGAACCATATATTAACCAAGAACATATGTTCTGACTTTTTGTTAAAAGGAAAATTAAATAGGTACCTTATATATTTGCATTTATTTTACCTTTGGAATCTAGCTTCATTCTTTTTTTAATTAAGATTTTTTATTGTTTTCACACTAAAAAGTTAACGTAGCAAACAAGCCCCATATAGCCCACCCTTCCCTAATGTGTCCTATTAGCAGAGAAAGAAAGAGAGTGAGAAAACAAAAAGGGTAGTGCAGGAGTGTGGGTTAGGAAAGTAAGATGCAGCATTATGGATTCAATTAAATAGGGAATAAAGGTGAGGTGGTATCATTGTTCTAACAGGATTTCATGCCAAATGGAGGTGAAGGTTCTAGGAGCTCCTCATCTGTTATATGCTATTCTCTCATTTGTACAAATGACTAGCATACCATTGACACAGATATCTACAGAGGGGGTTACTTGAAGGAAGTTAACAACTAATGTGAGATTGATCCTGGAGATAATCTCTTGCCAGAAATGCGTGGTTTTAGGTCCGTTCCAAAACATGCGAATGAGGTTAGCTCCATTCTTCCAGCAGTGCCAACAGGATTTACTGTCAGTGAGACCAACGTGATAATTTAGTAGGGTACCAGTACACCCACAAGAGACTTTTTTGTTGGATAGTCCTTAGTCATAAATCCACAGCAGCGGGTGTATTGGCTTTTAGTATATTTTCCAATTGGGTTGGTTGATTTGGAGTACTCAGTTCTAGGTTCCACTAAGAGCAGATATAATCCAAATTTAATTTGATTTGGTGTCTTAGAAAGTTATATATAAGGATAGATTGTCTAGGAAGGTTTTCTAAGGATGGAAGTAGGCAAAACTGTGTGGGGGGAGGTCCTGAGGTTGCAAAAACTTCTGATCCCAGAACACAGAAGAGGGACAATGTTTTATTTGTATATATTGCCAACTGGCTGTGGATGGGAGATTAAGTTCTGTGGGGAAAAAGGTCAAATGGTTTAAAGTCATCCCCTAGTCCAATTAGCTGAGATAAGTGTACTAAATCCACAGGGATCCATTGTCTTAAAAAAACAAACACCTTTATTCCTTATCTTAATACTAGGGTTTTTCCAAATTGTTAGATCTCTGTGAATTTAAGGGTCAAAAGCCACTGAGTGCCAATCATACACCAAGCTGACCTAGCAGCCTCAATTGCAGGTGAATGAACTTTTTGATAGTTTAAATGGGTAGAGCCCAAAGCAGCCAATTTACACAGAGGATAAAGCTGGGTCATTTCCAAGTGAACCCAATCGTTTCCTGTCCAGAAACTAGAAGTCCAGTATTGCACATAAGAAAGCAGAAAGGCATGTCAGCCTAACAAAAGGTCATGCCCTTCCAGTTTCAGTATTATCTCATACAACTTATATTAAAAGATGGCAAATGTTCCGATAGCGACTGTCAACTGAACACTGTCCACTGGCTCACGCCCAGCTATAAAGCCTTGGTTGGTGGTGGCATTGGTATTGTCAGTACCAATAGTGGTACAGTTGTTGGCACAGTTGGTAATCAGGCCAGGTCCAGTTGTTGTTGTTTTTTAAACTGCCTCAAAGAGGTTCTCTTGTAGTGAACTACATTTATTTGTCATTACAATTCCTAAATATTTTATTTTCTTCTGTAGTTGAAATCCTGAGATGTAGTCAGATTGCCTGCTCCTCTTCCATATTTTTAGTCATTATCTTAGTTTTATTAATATTAATTCTCAAGCCAGCTACAAATCCATAATCTCCAAATTCTTGTTTTAAAGTATGGATTGAGTCCAATGGGTTCTCCAATCTGAATACTAAATCATCTGCAAATGTCAAAAGTTTAAATTCTTCTCCTTTTAATTTCAGGCCCATAATCTCTTTCTGTCCTCTTATTGAATCATGAAGTATCTCCAATACAAATATAAACAGCAAAGGGGATAATGGACAATTAATACGATATCCTTATAACTCCCCAAATTTAGTAATAAGATCCGTAATTGCTGGTAAGGAACGTTCAGGATCTGACAGGAGAATCATTGCATCATTTGCATACAACATAAGTTTAAATTCCTTATCCCAGACTTTAATACCTGTGATGCCTTCTGATTGTTGAATGGCATATGCCACGGGTTCAAGAGCTAAATCAGATAATAGGGGTGAGAAAAGACAACCTTGCCATGTGCCATGGGCAGCAGTGAAACCTTTTGAACATAGTCCATTAGTAAATACTCTAGAGCAAGGCTCATTATAGAGGGTCTTCACCCAGTTAATAAATTCTGGGGGCATGGTACAAGATTGCAGTGCAAAGTGCAGGAATTCCCAACGCAATCTGTTGAAGGCCTTCTCTGAATCTAGTGATAAGGCCAACAAGGGATCACGCTTATTTTCTGTGGCAGCAATTACATCAATCGTATATCTGATGTGGTGAGCACCCTGTCTTCTTCGTACAAATCCTACTTGATTTGAGTGGATCATGTATGCGCTGCAGATTTGAGGCAAATTGCAAGAGGTGTTGTAAGGATTTTTTCAGTA